GTGAGAGGGTGCAAGCAGGGCTCAAGGACCACCCCCCCCCCCCATGAATTTCGTGCACCGGGCCTCTAGTTTTATTTTAAATACTTGGAGACCAACAGAGTAAAAGGTTTGAGTCCATACACGATTGCCTTGGACTGGGCTCTGTTTCCCAAGGGAAGGAACCCTGTCAGTGACGGCAAGTTTAGGGACATGTTGAACCCTCCTGTCATGTATCACACGCAACAAGGTGGTGAAAAGGTGCGTGTGCAGACGGAGACTACGATGCATGTGGCTCAGAGTCTGTGCATCGCCCAGGAAAACGTTGTCCACGTACCGAGTGCAGTGAGGTTGAAGGGGGGGGAGATTTAAATCTCTGTCTTCGGTCATGGCTCATGCCTTTGAGCCAGTGGAGGGTCTCCCACTGCTTAGTAATGAGGGTCTCCCAGCTCAGCCTGCTGGGCGAGCTGGGCTGCGAATTCTCGTCGGTCAGCACTCCTGTCCATCGTGTTGAGGGTGGGCGCCGTGGCTGAGCGCCGTGGCTGAGGGCCATGGTGCAGACACTGACCGGGCGGTCTGACCGCCGTGCGGGGCACCTGCAGGGCAGGGCTGGTCAGTGTCCCAGCCTCCGGTAGGCTCCCCGGAGAAGCTGCTGCTCTGTCACTGACCCACGGGTGCGCTTCGGCCGTTCACTCAGAGTGCTGCTCGGGCAGCCCGGTGGAAATTTACAGGAATTCGAGCACGCGGAAACGGACCTGCGTGTCCAGCGGGGAGCTCGGGAGCCCGGACTGTAACGGAGCCGCTCTGCTTTCTGAACTTGCTCCGCTGACCCGTCCACAAAGGACGCTGGCGGGGAGCCCGGCCCGCTGGCTGTCTGTTTTCTGACTTTATGGAGGAGCACACAATGGCTACCTTGTTCTGTTCGGGCTGTGCTTCCAAGTCCAGCGAATCCGACAGGGCCTGCGTCTCTGGCCCCCGCCGCTCAGCACACCCCCCCTTCTCTTTCATGTCCAGCGGCCGCGTTCTCCAAGTGCCCACCTTGGCGGGTGGGGGTGCAGGACCCTTTAGAAAACTCCTGGCTGGTCAGCGCTGCTGTTACAGAACATCCTTTTTAAAAAAATGTTTTTATATATTCTAAAGAGAGAGGAAGGGAGAGGGAGAGACAGAAATACCACTGAGAGAGAAACACCGATCGGCTGCCTCCTGCACGTCCCCCACTGGCGATCGAGCCCACCACCTGGGCATGTGCCCTGACCGGGAATCGAACCGGTGACCTCCTGGTTCATAGGATGACGCTCAGCCACTGAGCCACGCCGGCCGGGCCAGAACGTCCACCTTTAGACACTGGAGTTGGAGGGAAGGAGACGCTGGGAGGAATGTGAGATCAAATCGGTTAACTGATGTCTGTGGGCACGTGAGTAGCTTGGTGGTTCGTTTGGGTTCACATGTGCACAGATGTGGGCACAGATCGTGGAACTCGTCGATACTGACCTCGTTAGAAAGGGTGAGCCGCAGGGTGACCTTGGGAAAAGCTAGGGGGCATCTCTAAATTATGCAACAGCTTCTGATTGATCAATAACAGGACAGATCCCACTGATGGCAATGATCACATGGTCCACTTCCGGCCAAAGAAACGGCCGTGGACGCACCACGCACAGGGAAGCGCGTGCCGCCCGGATGGAGGTCCGGCTTCGTTCCCGCGGGTCCGTGGTTCTCAGAGTCACAGGCTGTGCCCTTGCTCTCATGTGACCGGGCTGGAGACCTTCCCACGCGGCGGGAGGAATGAAATATTAGATCGATCAGATAAATACGTTGCACCCAAATCATCAGTCTGGAATTACCGCTGCCCTGGGGGCGGGGTTGTAATCCAAGCAGGTTTCTAAATTCAGCCGAGGTAGCGGGCGTCGGACACCTGGCGATGACCTTCAGGCGCCCTCAGAGGGTCGGCTGCGGGTCACGCTCACACCGACATTTTGTTTATTTTGTTTTTTTTTTAAATTTATTGAGTTCAGAGAGGAAGGGAGAAGTAGAGATAGAAACATCAGTGATGAGAGAGAATCACGGATCGTCTGCCTCCTGCATGCCCCCACATGGGGATGGAGCCCAAACCCCGGGCAGGTGCCCTGACCGGGAATCGAACCGTGACCTCCTGGTTCCTAAGTCCACGCTCAGCCATTGAGCCACACTGGCCGGGCGTGCACGTGACGGTTTAGACTCGGACGCCCTTCCGCACTTCCTCCACCCACAATGGATCTTGAATAACCCTCCAGCTCTGCCCGCGAGAGGCAGACGGGAATCCCGGGATTCTGAGGGAAACTTTCTCTCCAAATTGCCACTTTACAGACTTCTGGAAAAATAGTGTTTTCAGTATTTTTAATCGGACACGACTTGCCTTCAAGGACACGTGAACTGAAGTCGCTGAGGGAGAGGAAAGCCCGCCGGCGCGTGCGGCCGCCCCCTCCTGGTCGGCCGGAGGCGAGGGCTGGTGCCCGGCGGTGAGATGGGGGCGGGTCGCGGGCCGAGGCCACGGACAACACGTGTCGTCCGGCCCGCGGTCCCCTCCTCTCGGTCCGAGGCCCCAGCGTGTCACCGCAGCTCCCAGCACCGGGAACAGGTCAGGACACAGCACCTGCGCCTTTCTTTCCTGCGATAACTAACTAGGTGGTCACTCCGCCTCCGCCGTGTGGTAGGTGTAGGTCGACGCTAACGAGTCCTGCTTCACAGAGCGCCTCAGGACGGGAAGGGCCTCGCCGTATCCGGTCCAACCCCCTTATTAAAAAACACACACAAAAAAAACACACCCAGATTTGATCAAGGCCGACCGTCCACACGGTGACAGCGGTGGAACCAGACCCGGGCCGGAGCGGGTAGGCGGGCGTCTCTCCGCTCCTCCGCAGGTTACACGCCAGCGAGACGTGCGTCCTCCCTAAGCCCTCGTTTCTGCAGAGGCTGCCATGGCCGCTGCGCGTGACGCCGCGAACTGAACTCGGCTGCGGCTGGTCCCAAGCCTGCGGCCCTGGGGCCCAGGCACCTGCTCCCCGAGGGCCCAGCTCCCGTCCTCCTGGCTTTGGCTTGTGCTGGAGGTGGGAGGCAGTGATGCAGGTGAGGGGACGGCGGTAAAAGTGGGGGGACTTGGGAAGGTGCCACAAACACGGCACGTCAGGGGGCCTCGAATTTCACCTTCTCGGTCACGCACGGAGTCCCAGCGTCCTCGGCGTGTGGCCACGCGTGCACACGCCTGCTCTCTGAGTGACAAGCGCTGGTGGCTTGGAGCCTTTCTGAGGACAGTGGGCGCTGCTGCACCTCGAAGGTCCCGGGCCAGGGCAGGGGTGGGGCAGGGGTGCGGCCCGGCCTCGCTCACCGGGCCCCTGGCTGATACACGGTCAGGTCCACGGGAGGCCCACCCCCCAGGCGCTGTGACAAGCCCGCATGGCGGCCACTCTGTGAACCACGGGGTGGGCAGCTGGGACGGTTTGACCCCGGCCTCGGGCCGATCAGGCGGAGAGCCTGGGCTGGGAGGCTGCTCGCGGAGGTGGTTTCCAGCTCACATGCGTCGGATTAAAAATCGGTTGGGAAGCAGAACATTCCGGCAACTCCAGGGGCAGGGCCCGTGCCCTCGGGCTCGCTCTGCCCGTCTCGTTCAGGCGTGAACCGTGCGGTGGGGGCAGCGCCCCTGGAGGGTCCCGGGCAGCCCGGGGACAGGAATGTGGGCAGCTCACTCTCCGAGCGGAAAGAAAGACAACCATCGCATGATCGCGCTCCTGTGTGGGATCTAATGAATCAGCAAATAAACTGATGATCAGAGGTAGAACCAGAGGCACAGAAGCAGGAACAGACAGGAACCTTAGAGGGAAGGCGGGGGAGGGAGGGGGTGGGGAGAGATCAACCAAAGACCTCGTGTGCGTCTATGCATGACCCATGGGCACAGACAGTGGGGCGGTGAGGGCCTGAGGTGGGGGCGGGGGGTTAACGGGGAAAAAGGAGACCTATGTCCTACTTGCAACAATAAAGATGAAAAAAACAAAGAAAATCTGAATTTCCATGTGCCCTTCACCTAAATGAAATAATGGTTAACATTTTCCTATAAAAAAAGAAAGGAAGTCGGTGCTCACGGGGAAGGACAGCTGCGAGAGGGGAGGGCGAGGGGGGTTCGCTGTCGATCGGTGTGTGTGTCCGGGCTGCGGGCTCTCGGGGGCTTTCGGGGTCAGGCCGTCCTCCTGACCGACCTCTGCCGGTTCTTTTAGGGGAGATTCGCCCCAAACGTCGTGACCGTGTCCCTAAGGCTGAGAGGGTGGTCATTGCAAACCTGCAAATAACGTTTCGATTTGTCCTTAAGATTTAAAATATTTTAATTTTTGTGAATCCTCACCTGAGAACATTCTTTCCATTGATTTTCTTGGGGGGAAAGTCTCTGTATGAGCACAGTCAGGACCGACGGAAACAGGACAATTTATAAAGTTGGAAACGGCCCTGCCACGGTGACACGAGCACCTCATCCGTGGTTCCCAGTGCGTCTCACACTCGGGAAAGGGGGCTGCGGTCGCCTCTGGGCTCAGCGATCACAGAGAGAACTGTCTGGGGAGCGGGGTCTCGGGGTCGTGGGGTCACGGGCAGACTTGGGGTTCCCTGCGAGGGGGCAGAGGGCGATGGGGCCTTCGCCGGGCAACATAGAAGCTCTCCTTAGAGACGGCCTCGCCGCCGGAACTGGAGTCCGTGTGTACAGCAGCGGCTCCCAGGGCGAAAGCAAAACAACACCCCTCCCCCCGCCCCGGCCGCATAGCTGGCCGGGTGGGTGTAAAAATAGCCGCGGCCGCGCTGGAGGTGGGCGCTGAGCGGCCTGCAGTTGCCGGGTCCCCCTCCTCCTGGCACCAGCCGGGCTGGCCACATGGGGAGACCCGGGGAGGGGCGTTCAGGGCCGCGGGGCGGGGGAGCCAGGGGCCGTCGGCGAGGACTGTCCGCCCGGGGGCCCTGGACGGAGCGCGGGGGGCGGGGACGGGCCCACTGACCCGGAGCTGTGCCGGGAGATGGGCAATGCAGCTCTCTGCCCCTCGTGCCACGCGGGCAAGAGCGTGAAGGCCCAGGGGCACGCACAGGAGGCAGACAGAGCCCCCGACTACTACGGCTGCCCCGGCGAGGACGCCCCGGAGCTGGGGCCGCGGGTAAGTGCCGAGCAGACGCAGAGGGAGGATGAGTCAGAGGTCCTAGTGGACCTCATTGGTCAGAACCCGGCGCGTCCTGGGAGGACGTGACCCGGTGCGACGCGGCGATCGGGCCGCCTGACGCGGCTGGGTCACGCTGGGGGCACCACGGGTGTCCCTTCTGGTCGGCTCTCCCTGGGAAGTGACGTTCGGGGACAAGCAGCGATGCCGTCTCTTTAAGGTGACGTCTTCTCCAAAGCTGAGCCTGTGTGTGTGACTGTGGACAGATCTGTGCACAGACTCACGGCGAGCTGTCAGGTTCTGTGCCCATTTGTGCATCATGCTGGTTCTCTCTTCTTTTCTGGGCACGTGCTCACTGGAACCCCCCACCTCAGCCCTAAATACTTTTTTATTTTATTTATTTTTCTTAAAAATTTTATTGATTTTTTACAGAGAGGAGGGGAGAGGGACAGAGAGTTAGAAACATCGATGAGAGAGAAACATCGATCAGCTGCCTCCTGCACACTCCCTACTGGGGATGTGCCCGCAACCCAGGTACATGCCCTTGACCGGAATCGAACCTGGGACCCTTGAGTCCGCAGGCCAACGCTCTATCCACTGAGCCAAACCAGTTAGGGCAGCGCTTTTTTATTTTTAATATATATATTTTATTTCAGAGAGGAAGGTAGAGGGAGAGAGAGACAGAAACATCAATGACGAGAGAGAATCATGGATCGGCTGCCTCCTGCACGCCCCCGACTGGGGATCGAGCCCACAACCCCGGGCCTGTGCCCTGACTGGGAATCGAACCCTGATCTCCTGGTTCCTCGGTCGATGCTCAGCCCCTGAGCCACCCGGCCGGGCCGTGAAGACGTCTGATATTTGACTCACTCCAGGGAAAGGCCTTGCCGTACTGTCCGGTGGTGATGAGACTGCTTTATGAAGAGGCTGGAACGCCGAGCAGTCACATGTTGGAGTTGACGTTCAGATTTGAGTAATTCAGAGTCGGGGTCTGTCCCTTAAATGGCTCCGGAGGCTTATTGCCATTTTCTTACTGTGGGGCGAGGCCAGGACTTTCCTGAAACAGCTCGATTTTCACATTATCTGGAGAGGGATGTGTGTCCGTGATCCGTGACCCGTGACCCGTGATCCGTCAGGAGCCGGCTGTGGCCGCACTGCAGGTTACTTACTTCGGAGCGAGACCACGAGGCTCGGAGAGGCCATGCTAGGCCAGGGGCTGAGTGTCTGGAGATCCCTCCTGTACGGGGAGGTCGCAGCCGGCAGCCCCCCTGAAGGCAGGTGCTGTTCTGGTCCCGGGGGAGGGCAGGGGGAGGGGAGAAAGTGCACCCTAACTGCCAGCCCGCCATGAGCGAGACAGGCAGCCGTGAGGACGCAGCACGGGCAGTGCTGGGCCGCCTCACGGGGCAGCTCCGCCTCTGGGCGGCAGACATCACAGCGTGCAGCCCTGTGGGCCGGCCGCAGACTCAGCCTCGGGTCCACGCGGCACTGGCCTCTACGGGGGAAGCCCTCCTGGCGGGGCGGGTCCGGGAGAGTCCGCCGGCTGCGGTGTGTGCGTCAGGGGCTCCACGTTGGGGCCGTCCCTATGGGTGCCCGGCCCCCAGCAGAGGCGCAGCGAGTGTTTCTGGGAAACAGGAATACATTAGCGACCAGGGGATCCCCACGGAGCACAGCGAGTCGGGGCCTTTACAGCGGCAGGTGACGATCTCCCAGGGCCAACAGAAGCTCTGAGATGGAAACGGGTAGCGGCGCAGAAGGCGTTCCTGAAACCGCCCAAGCGTTTGGCGACTAAGACGTTCTCAGTGTAACCTTCTGCTCAGAACAGGCTGTCCCCACTCCAGGTGCACACGCGTGACCGCTGTGGGTGGCACGTGCGTGAAACATGTTACTCTATAAAGCAGCGGTTCTCAACCTGTGGGTCGAGACCCCTTTGGCGGTCGAACGACCCTTTCACAGGGGTCGCCTAAGACCATCCTGCATATCAGATATTAACATGATGATTCATAACAGCAGCAACATGACAGTTATGAAGTAGCAACAAAAATAATTTTATGGCTGGGTCACAACGTGAGGAATTGTATTTAAAGGACCAGAAGGTTGAGAACCACTGTTATAAAGGAACATACATTTTCCTGGGGTTATTATTCTCTATAGCAAGTTGTACATAAAATGCAATGGTGGCCCGGCCGGCGTGGCTCAGTGGTTGTGCATGGACCTATGAACCAGGAGGTCAGGGTTCGATTCCCGGTCAGGGCACAGGCCCGGGTTTTGGGCTGGATCCCCAGTGTGGGGCGTGCAGGAGGCAGCTGATCAATGATTCTCTCTCATCATTGACATTGCTCTCTCTCTCCCTCTTTGAAATCAATAAAAATACATTTTTAAAAAAGTTAAAAATAAAACGAAATGCCTTTTAAAGGGACTCCGTGAGAGACTATGCTGTGAGCACAGGAGTGATCATCCCACAGGCAGTCAGTATCCGACAGGCTAGGCCGGTGGCAGGTTCCTTTCAATGAAGCTCGTCCGGAGCAAACGTAACTACTTACTTGGGCTGCGCAGTAGCTTTCATCAACTTTCTTCTGCCCCGTGCAATGAGCTTAGCCCCACCGCGCCCAGCGGCTTGTCCACGGTCACACGGTGACGGAGCCAGGACCCCCTCCCCCTCCCCCTCCCCCTCCCCAGGGCGAGCTGGCTTCCTCCCCACACGCACCTGCTGTCATGCTCACCCACTTCCCGTGGCTGTTGTGGACTTAATGCGCTTCTAGCGGGTGAAACGTGAGGCCCCTTTTGCCGCAGGAACTACCGGCTGCTGTCCTTGTGCCTTCGTTTCCAGTGAAAGATTTCTCCCGGGACCCGGGGGGGGGGGGGGGGTAGGACAGGGGAATGGGGTTATTACAGTGATCGGATCGCCAGCCTGGAACGGCTGGACTTTCCGGAGCTCACGGGCACCCCCTACTCGTGTGGGGCCTGCGACGGGAAGGGCATGTCTTTGCGCCTTCCCTTGAAACCCGCGTCTGAGAAGCATAAGGACAACGGTGGTCCCCCAAGCGGAGTCGCCTCGGTGTCTCTGAGCGAACGAACGGGTCCGGAGCTGCCGGAGCTGCCGGAGTTGAGGCCGGAGCCGGGAGAGTGGTTTCGATCAAGTTTAAGTGTTGCCGATGTCTCAGTTATTTTAAATGTTTGGGTTGTTTTTTTTTCCTCTTTTCCTACCTCGGTTATGAATGAGATACTGGGCGGCTCCTGGTTCCAGTGAAACGACCGCCCAGTAAACACGTCCAGTCCCGGAGTTGGAGCGTCTCACGTCATCGCGGAGAAACAGGAAGCCGGCTCTCCGGGCAGAAGCGACGGGTGAAAACGCGGGGGAGACGGTTAGGTTTGCGCCTTCGCTGGGCTGATGAGGGCGGGAAGCCCGACGGGGCCCGTCTAGCAAAACACACGCGCGTAGGAAGGGCGCGCCACCGTCCTTCCTGAAAACCGCTGGTTGTCACATCTGGTTCCCCCCAGGTTTATACGAGGAGGAGAGCGTTTTTTCAGAAATAAAAGACATTCAGCAGCTTCCTGTGAAGGAGGTGTGTGCTTCACACCCACGTCCCTGTATCTATGACGCATCATCATTTCTTTTAAAAAATGGCTCCTTGGTCCTGGGCGGTGGCTCAGCGGTTAGAGCAGCGACGGCGAACCTTTTGAGCTCGGCGTGTCAGCGTTTTGAAAAACCCTAACTGAACGCTGGTGCCGTGTCACATACAGAAATTTTTTGATATTTGCAACCATAGTAAAACAAAGACTTATATTTTTGATATTTATTTTATATATTTAAATGCCATTTAACAAAGAAAAATCAACCAAAAAAATGAGTTTGCGTGTCACCTCTGACACGTGTGTCACAGGTTCGCCATCACTGGGTTAGAGTGTCGGCCCTTTCGTTCCCTGGCCCAGGGCAGGGTGCGTGCGGGAGGCACCCAGCTTATGTGTCTCTCTCACATCAGCGTCTCTCTCTCTCCCTCCCTCCCGCCTCTCTCTAACAATCAATGGAAAAAGTATCTTCAGGTGAAGATTCACAAACTAATAACCCTCCACAGTTTCCCACCCCATTTAATTCCTGCCCAGGGCCCTCAAGGGCGCCACCGTGAGGAGAGGTGTGGTTCCCCGACTGCGCGCACACACACACACACAGACACACACACACACACACACCCCGTGTCTGCCTGCGGAGTGATAGGACGTGTTCTGTTTTTCTGCATCAGGTACCGTGGGCAGGACTAGGTCGGGAAGAAGGGGATTTTCTTTCTTGGGGCCGTGGGGGGCGGGCGCCATGCCCCACCTGTGGTGACGGAACCTGTGGGCTCGCGTGAGACCCCGTCACAGTCAGCGCCCTGGGCAGCAGGGCCCCTGGGCGGGGACGCCGGGCAGCGCAGCAGGGGCGGCCGGGGGCTGTGTGTCTGTGACTCCCCGGAGCCTCAGTTTCCCGTCTGGCACTTCCTGTGGGCACCGCCCGGGGGGCGGGAGACGCCGTCTCCTGTGAAAGCACGTTCCCTCCGGACGCGTAGCTTGGAACTTCCTCCTGTGCGTCAGCGGGAAGCATGCGGGAGGCCGCTGTGTGTCGCCACCGCCCCGGGTCCTCCCCTTTCTGTGGCGGGAGGCCGGCAGCCCGAGGGGTCCCCCCGAGCCCCTCAGAGCTGTAGTCAGACTGACGGTGTGGGCGGCGGGCGCCTGTGTCCTGCAGACCATCACCACTGAGGCCTACGACCTGCAGCCTCACTTCAGCCTTGTTCTGGGATCTGTGTTCTGGGACCATCTGCTCGCCTCGGCACTTGCAACGTGCGTTTATAGTGCGTTTCCTCGCTTTGGGGAAACGGAGTCTCTCAGCGGGTTCTAGAAGAATCCGGCCAACGGGGAGGCCTGTACGGGGCTCATCCGCTGCATGTGCTCTGGGCCCAGCCCCTGGGACGCCGGGAGGGACATTCTGGGGAAGAGCCCTCGGCTGGCGGCACCGAGATCTGCTTTTACTTGGTAGACATTTGACTCGGAACAGAGAAAAGCAGTTGGAAAACTTGTGATTTGCAACAGCAAAAGCAGCCCTGGATGCCACCCGGCCTGGAGGAGGCTCTGAGAGGTCCCTCGGGTGCTCCTGGGAGGCCGGGAGCCCCTCAGACACCCGGCCCCCTCACCCTGCACAGCGGGGTCGCCGTGAGTCCTCCCCCCGGGGGGCAGGTGCTCCCTGTCTCTGCCTGTTTGTGTCGCTGAGTTTGTGGAGGCCACGGAGTGGCCTGGGCCTGGTTCCTGGCTCCCATCCGACCTGAATTTCCGCGCAGAGACACCTGACTGGGTGAGGGGGCGGGCGCTGACCTCCCACCCCGGGAAGGCGGCCGGGAGCGTCTGTCTCCGAAGGTTGCCTCTCTGGTGCGCGGGCGGCGGGCGAGGCCTCTGCTCAGCAGGTGCCGTGATGGGCGCGAATACATGAGCCTGGGGTGCGACCGTGTCACACACACCCATGAACCCACAGCTCACAAGCGGCGTCCAGGTGACTTGCCTCTGATGCTCTGAGGCCGAGGAACACGCTGAATCGTGTATTCCAGGAATACTGGGGACCCCCAGGAATACCGGGACCCCCAGGAATACCGGGAACCCCCAGGAATACTGGGAACCCCCAGGAATGTCGGGGACCCCCAGGAATACTGGGAACCCCCAGGAATACCGGGGACCCCCTGGGAATACCGGGAACCCCCAGGAATACCGGGGACCCCAGGAATACCGGAACCCCCCAGGATACCTGGAAGGTCCCGCCTCACGCAGGGCCCCTGCTCGTGCTGGAACGGGCA